ATTGAGCTACTAATAGTCTTGCAGCAGTTATAAAATTCAGCATCAATTCCATTTCTTTTGCATCCAAATCTTCCATAATACCCAACAAAAATATCTGCGGCTTAAACTTTATCTTTTTCTTAAAAATATTTTGAGTATTCCACCATATCTTAATCCAAAATGCTTTAACTTCCCTACATGTCCACCAAATATGAAAATACAATGCATCTAAATTGCCACATCTCCAACACTTAGGTTGTACATTGGGGTACATACAAGACAATTTTTGAGGATCCAGATGCCACCTATAAAACATTTTATAAAAATTTTCCCTTAAATTTTGAGCTTGAGTAAATTTTACATTTCTAACCCAAATTATCTCCCATGTGTCCAATAAAATTGGTAAATTCAACCTCTTAACAATGACATCACATATCTAAAAAATTATCCAAAAGCGATTCTAGTATTAAATTAAAACTAACTTTTAGTGTCAAAATTGGAAATTGTTAACACTTTATCTCCAAAAATTGTTCTACTGAAAGTACTGTACCTAGTTAAGTCAGTAATAGTTGCACTTAAAAACATCTACTTAATATTTCAAAGCAGTGATGTTCCTATAACATGAATCACTCTTGCTATCATTTTTCACTTTGTAAAGCAGTCTTCTTTATGCTAAGCTATGCAGATTCTGCTCTTTCTCCCATGTTAACATGGCTGCATTTCTTGAATCATTTTAAGATGTTTTTAAGGAAGAGGCAGAATGCACGCTCAGCAAATATTTTGTTCTGTAACAAAAACTAACGGAGGAGCTGAGAATGGGAAGAAACCTCTGGTATACAGTCATCAGTTTCTAAGATCTGTTGTTCAGAAACCATTTCAAGGTTATTTGGCAGAGAAAGCCATTAGGACTTATTAAGATAATTCTTTTACCTTAAATTAGGATAGTGATTCCAAAGAATCTTTTCATACACTCTTTGGGGGCCTTTTTCACTTATTGCTTATTATCTATTAATAGTAACAACAAAAACAATTTCTGCAGATTCAATGCCATTCATGTACAAGGCATTTTACTCAGAATAGATTTGATAGGACATTGCCCCAAAGGATTTACAATCTAAAAATAGGCAAAGAGAAAGAAACAAAGAAGAAAGATATTATTGTTCTTAAGTTATTTTAATTGTAACCTCTTAAGCGTGTTATTTGTTAAAAACAAAACATTATCAGTTTATATATTCCATGGGGATAAGAATGAGAAAAGAGAGAATGGAAAACAAGGAATCTAAGGGTTGGTTAAGGATATCAGAGCTGGATGAGTAAAAATCATAATACAATATTAAGATATCAGAGCAAAGGAACAGAGAAAAATGTATAGTGCATCCAGAAGAGAAGTCTACCATTTTAGCAGGGGCAAGCTATATGCTATAGATATGTGATTCATTGCTATTGCTTTAAAACATTCAAAATGAAATAAAATTATTTTGAAACAATTACATGGTGCAGAGAATTAATTATCTATTTTGCTTAAGTGCCAAATATTCATAGGTAATGAGTTCTTCTTCCAGTAGATGTACTCAAGCATAGGCTAGACAGCAATGTATCTTGGAAGTTTTCACTGAAATGTTGGATTACAAAATCTCAGGAAAATACTTTGGCCAAGTGCTCCTGCAAAAAAGGCTTTTTTACTATTATGGTCTTTTTGATCCAATGATATATTGTCCAATTTGTGCTTCCTGACATATTTTATTTCAATTTATACATTTTATTTTCTTGTTATTAATTGCATTCTCTTGTTTTAATTGTCATGAAGTGCTAAAAGTAGTTGGAAGTTGGGTGGCCATCAATTTTATAAATAAGATAGATAAATAGAGTTCATTATTTGAACTCAAGAATAGTTTTTTTTATAAGTCTGTATAAGGTTCTTAACTTTTTTTGTGCCATGGAGCCCCATGAGAATCAGGTGAAACTACCAATGCTTTGCCAAAAAATGTATTTAAATATACCTAACATAAAATATATGGATATAGACTGTATTACAAGGGAAGCCAAACAGATTCAAATACAGTTTTTGAAATATTAAAAAATAACAAATCGTAATACATTGATACACACATTGATACAGGTGCTTCCTAATTAGTCCATTAGATCAGTAAACAATGCAAAAACTTTTTTGTTAGAGTATAATAATTTTAAATAGTAACATTTATTAAAGTTAACAAATATTTTTGGAATCAAAAGGCTATAAATTACTTCGTTGCCTACATACACTATGCAATGAAAAGCTAAATTTCAGTTAATGATTGGTAAAAATAAATCTGCCTTAATTTGTGGTAAAAATAAAGTTGCATTTTTTTCTCCCAATTGAATGTCCATGGACTCCAGGTTAGGAACTATTGTCTATTGCATTGGTTCTCAACCTGAGGTCCATTGACCCCTGGGGGTCCACAATGTCATCACAGGGGGTCCGTGAAGGCTTGAAGAAATGTTATGATTTAAATCTTGAATTAAGTCTTGGTGGTCCGTGGCCATGGTCCCTGGCCACAAAAAGTATTTAAAAGGTTCCATGATGAAGAAAAGGTTGTGGACCACTGATCTATTGTATATTTCCTTGCTTTCTCTCTCCACTTTCCTACCAATTGTCCTACATTCTCCTCCCTCTCCAGTGCTATTGGCTTTTATTCTCTTTTTAGTGTTAGGAAGAACATAGCCACCATCTGAAATCTCTATTGGAATATTTCATGACTGTTAAGTGTAATTGTTAGGAGGTTTGGGGAGGTCCAGACTTCATTGATTTTGAAGCAGAGTTTCATGCCATTTCTTAATATTTCCAAATTCTCCCCTATCTTCAGGCATGTTTGAAAAGCCCCTTAGGTGGCAATTCGTCTTCTGTGATCAGTTTTATTGCTACTCTGGGATATCCTGTAAGAAACTTGGAGTATATGTAACTGAACCTTTTCTTCTGTCAATGATACAATCACCTGCCTATGAAGAACACACGTCCCTCACTTAGGCTTGAGAGCTGAAACTAGGGGACAGAGAGAGAAAGAGTCCAAAACAAACATTTCCAGTCCAAACAAAATGAAACCAGACATTATTTGGAAAACAAAGCAAGTTGTACCTACATTTAATGCTTGTGTTCAAACTCTTTGGAGCAGATGAATCAACAGCAGCTGAATTAACAACAACAAAAATGTTTATCTTCTCAATACAGTATTCCATTTTCAAATGCAGAAAAGAGAAACAAATAGCTTGCTTACAACCAATAGGAAACAGAGGTTATTGAAGCCTGGATTCAATTATCATTGGGCTCTTAAGGAATCTTATTTAGATGCTTTGCTTATAAATAAACTGATGACACCTTCTTTGTTGACTATGAGATGAAAACTACTAGTCCAACTGTAAAAAAGTGTAATAGCGAGATATGAATTTCAAGGAATAGCTGTGTGATTTGATTTTGCTTTTCTGTTTGAAGTGAGCCCTGTTTCTCATCTTGTTCAAGCCAAGCAATCTACCTGCAGTGCTTCAGGGACGTTATTGGCAAGCGTTTTTGTTTTCAAAGTATCCTCCACAGCTTTCACCTCATTTCTTAGTTTGGCAGTTTGCATATTTTTTTAAAAGTGATACATGATAAAACTGTTTCAGAAAGGGAAGAAATGACTCAGGCCTATAAAAAAATAGTATAAATAGTTTGAATTTCTGCCGTAAAGCAAGAGCTTCTGTTTTAGCTCACAAATGTTTCTAAACTGTGGTTGCATGCACTTCCAAATTGACCTTGCTACAAACATTATGCACATCCTTTTGAGCATAATGAGCTTACTACTGCTTGAATCTTCATTGTTAAAAAAATTAAGGCTGTACAAAAAGCCTGATGGGAATTTAAAATGGGAGCAGGCAACTTGAATAATAAGAGGAATTTCCACAGTTCAGCAAATTTTACTGTAGTAATAATGGATATAGAATAGAGACAGTCCAATTTTTAGGCAAGATGCATTTTCTGCAGTTCTGTACAATACTAATTAAAAGCTATTGCCTTATTAATATATTTTCATTCATTCCTTTAATATATTAAAGATTATTCTATCATTTCTTTTCTATAAGTCTATAATGGCTAACAATAATAAGATCATTAAGCAAAAAAGTGGTTTTCAATTCACCTAAAAATCAAATTAGATTTGATCAAATATACAGATACATTTAAAATGTATAAATATATTCATTCAGGACAAGACTTCAAACTATTGTCTTTAGTACCAATTTAGCTAGCAGATGCAGAAAGATGTATGAAGGTGAACAGATGAAAGCCTTTGTGGCTCAAAGGGAATACTTTCTTCTAATTAATTAATTAAAACAAGGTTATGTGCAGCCTCCCAGAAAGTGGGTCCTTGGGGTCCCCTCCAAAGTTGCTACCATAAATTAGTGATGATTTCCATTTCCTGCTTTTGCACCACAGGATCACAGAGCAGGGAAGTGCCTGAGCAGATTGTCAACATCTTC